CATTTCAACAGATATATGGATCAAATATCCTTAAAGAACTTAATCTGGAGAGTACTGACATTTTTATAATTAAAATCATACCAGCCAAGAGCCTGAAATATTTTTCCATTTATTCAGATCATTGTCTATGTCCTTTATTAAAGTTTTATAGCTTTATACATGAAGGTCCTTTGTGTTATTGGTTAATTTACTTCCTTGATATTTTATTATTTCTATTACTTATGAAGAATATATTTTATCATTTTAAATTACATATTTAGAGTTTTACTGAAGTAAAAATGTTTGTAGTCAAAGAGGTGACTAAGGTTCCTCCGCAACAGCTTGAGATGTGCATAATCCCATCAATGGACTCCTGGGTTCCATTCTGAAAAGCTCTCAATGTTGTTTTCATTGTGCTTTTCCTTTTATTTGCACAGGAGCTAAATTCTGCCTTTAAAAAGATTCCATATTTTCTTCAACATTTCTAGATATTTCACAATGCAAGTGTTTTCAGATTATTTAGGTCTGTGATGAATAGATCATTTGGAGAAAAATAGAATAATCATTTGTAGGCATATTAATCTACATCTCCGTATTATTTTGCTTTTTATTTTTAATCAATGGTTCATTATGGATATAAGTTATTAACTAATGCATGACTAAGCATAAAATAAATTAAAAACTGTCAAGACTACCATTATAGCTGTGGGTATTTAGGTGAGTGAGAAACTGAGTTGCTGAATCATGAACATGTACACAAAGTCCCCAGTAACTGTCATACAGGCCCATTTGATGCACTTGAGAGTTGGTATCCTGAGTGAAAGAGGAGTAAAAACTTGTTTTATTTGAGATAGCGACAATTGTCACAACTGCCCTTTTTTAATTAAAAATGTTTTATTTATTATTTTTATTTGTACGCATATGAGTGTATTGCCTGAATGTATGTAAGTGCCCTCGTGTCATGCAATGTCTGCAGAGGTCAGAAGAGTGTCAGATTCTCCTGGACCTAGAGTTACTGATGGTTGTTAGCTGCCATGTAGGTGCTGGGAACCAAACCCGGGTCCTTTGCAAGAGCAGGCAATGCTCTTAAACTGCTGAGCCATCTTTCCAGCCCCACCACTGTCTTTAAAATGTTCTGAAACTGGGCCTTGTAGCACAGGCCTTTAAGCCCAGCACTCAGGAGGCAGAGGCAGGAGGATCACTGTGAGAGGTCAGCCTGGGCTTCCTAGTGAATTTCAGGCCAGCTGTGGCTATAGGGAGATCTTGTTTCAAGATAAAACAAACATTTGGGAGCATCTTTCCAAGACCCCAAGTTTTATACTTCTTAGTTTATACTTATTAGTTTGTATAGTTTAGTACTTGTTAGGAAATTCTGACATAATAAAATGCAAATCCCTCCTCTACTTATCTTTTCAGCCTCACCTCCCACAACTCAGCAGGAGTGCACCTGACAATCACAACATGCTATTCCCCTCAATGATGTTCTTGTTGCTTATAATGCTCTTTCCCACCAAATTGCTGATTCTTCAAGCTCCAGCACAAATGGCAATTTATGGAGTAATTCTTCCCTTCTCTCAGGAAATTAATCATGGTCTTCTGTGATCACTAATATGCTTCTGTTATAACATTTGCCACAGGAATTTGTTTTATCTTTTTGAGGCAGGGTCTCCCTGTAGTCACAGTTGGCCTGGAACTCCCTACATAGACCATGACAGCTTCCATCTCACAGAGATTCACCTGCCTCTGCCTCCTGAGTGCTGGGATTAAAGATGTGCCACCATACCTAGCTACCACAGGGTTTAAAAATATTTATTATTATTATTTTTTTTTTGGTCTTTTTTGAGACAGGGTCTCCTTGTAGCCCCAGCTGTCTTGGAACTCACTATGTAGACCAGGCTGGCCTTGAATTCAGATCCTCCTGCCTTGCCTTTGGTGCTTCACCACACCCCTGCCCAGTACTTTTTTTTTCGAGACAGGGTCGTTTCATAAGCCCTGGGTACAAGCCTTGGACTCACAGAGATCTGCCTGCCTCTGCCTCCAGTGCTTGGATTAAAGGTGTGCACCACCACGCCCGGCCTATTTTTGTTGTTGTTATTATTATTATTATTTTGGTTTTTTGAGACAGGGTCTCCCTGTAGCCCCAGCTGTCCTGGAACTCACTATGTAGACCAGGCTGGCCTTGAACTCACAAAGATCCGCCTGCCTCTGCCTCCCAAGTGCTGGGATTAAAGGTGTTGCACCACCACGCCTGGTTATATTTTTATTATTTTAAAAAACATTACACTTTGATAATTTCACACTATATAAAGTGTTTTAACATTTGTACTAATTCTTTGAGAAATTTCATTAGTTTTAGTTGAATTTGTGAATTTCATATATTTTAATCATACTTAGACCCTCTCCCCCTCTAAACTCCCCTACCACTCCCACCTGATTTCATGTACTTCATTATGTATTTATACTTATATTAAGGCCTATCAAGCCTATGACGTATCCCCAAGAATCCTTCAGTGTGGGTCCAACTACTGGAGCCTGGTTACCTACCCGGGGTCACACCCTTAAAGAAGACTGACTCTACCCCTAACAGCTATGCCAATAATTCCTCAGCTAGGTTTGGGGTTTCCTATCTGCTTCTCCCTTTCTATGCTGGGATTATGTGACGAGTTTACGTGGGACTTGTGCACTACTGCTACGAGCTCAGATGAGTAACTGCCCAGCTGTTTGGAAAGCTCTGTTTCCTTATGGTCATCCACACCTCTGCATCTTTTCACCCCCTCTTCTGCAATGATCCCTGAGACTTGGGAGGTGGAAGTTTGATACAGGTATTATACTCAAGGATAAGCACTCTGCAGTCTCTTATTCTCTGTACATTGGCCATTTGTGGGTCCCTGGGTTAATCACCATTTGCTGCATGAGGAAGCTTCTCTGGTGAGAACTGAGAGATGCATTAATCTATGGGCATAACAATAAGTCATTAGGAGTTGGGTTAATATTATGTTTATTTAGCAGAATATTAGTAGACTTTCCCCTGTGATCTGTGACCTGTTTAGCCACATATCTATGCCTTATATCAATATCAGATATGGGCTCTATCTTGTTAAGTGGACCTCAAATCCAGTCAGAAAGTGGTTGGTTACTCCTATAACATTCATCTCTCTTCTGCCCCAGTGGGCATATCTTGACAAGCCAGTTGTTGTAGCGCCCAAAGTTCACAGAGGCCTGTAAACCTTTTATTATTTTAAAAAATTATATGCATTCATTCATTTTTTTAACATTTTATTTTTAATCTTTATTTTTTTTATGTGTATGAGTGATATGCTTGCATGTAAGTAAGTACACCCGTGCCGTGCAATGCCTGTGGGGGACAGAAGAGGCTGTTGAATACCCTGGAACTGGAGTTACGGACAGTTGTTAGCTGCCATGTGGGTGCTGGGATTCAAACCCAGGTCTTCTGCAAGAACAGTCACTGTTCTTAACCACTGAGCCATCTCTCCAGCCCTCATTTATTTATTTAGTGTGCACACACATGCCACAGCACATGTAGAGGTCAGAGGACGACTTACAAGAGTCAGTCCTCTCCTTCCTCTATGAGGTCACAGGGAATGAACTCAGGTGGTCAGGCTTGACAGCGGGCATTTTACCCATTGAGCCATCTCACCAGCTCCCACATGCTATTTTAACTTAGATGTTTAGATGACTGTTTTCCTTATTAGTGTAAGTCCCTAGGGTACAGGGTTTGTATTTATTTTTATGTCCCAGCACCCAACACAATAACCTAGAAATAATATTTTTTATATTTATTAAGTTTGTGGGAGGGGCACACACATGCCATGGCATATGTGTGGAGGTCAGAGAACAACTTGTGGGAGTCAGTTCTCTCCTTCCATTATGTGGGTCCCGGGGATTGAACCTAGGTTTTCAGCAAGCTGAGCCATCTTTCTGGCTCCCTTAGTATTTGATAAATGACTGACAAATAAATGAATGAGGTAGTAATTACTGATATGGCTATAAATGCCAGCTGTAACAACATCTGATATTTAAAAAAATGTATCAGTATCTATTTTCTATATTATGAGATGTGTTGTCAATAAAGTAAACAAGAATATAAACCTGGGGCTGGAGAGATGGCTCAGTGGTTAAAAACATTGGCACTCTTACAGAGGACCTAGGTTCAACTCCCAGGACACACATGGTGGCTAAGGACTGTCTGTAACTCCAGTTTCAGGGGAACCTGATGCCCTCTTCTGACCTCTTTGGGCATTGCACCTTAGGTACACCCAGGCAATACACTCATACACATAAAATAAATAAATATTTTAAAAAGAATATAAACCTGATTTTATTTTTTTGTTCTCTAGACTTCAAAGCAGCATGAACTGGAAAAGATCCAGAAACTCTCAGGTCAGAATGCTCTTATCCTTATTCTTGAGCTCAAGGATAATAACAGATCAATTGCGGATCTGCTTTAAGACTCTAGCCTTTAATAGCAGGTGGAGGAAAATTGAAAAAGAGGATGTAACATGTTCCAAAGACATGTGAACAGTTCTGCAATTCCTTCCATGCTCCCTTTCCCCAGGCTTCCCTGTTCCATCTATTTTCAAGTAAAACCCAAAATATGGGAAAGAATCTTGGTGAGACAGGAGAATGGATAAAGACTATCATGAGTTTGGGGAGGGAAGTTTGTTACCTTTATTTCTCTGCTGTGGATGTTGGGTAGACATCTTCAAAGGGAAAGCTATGTATCAGGATCTCTGTTTTCCAGCTTCCTATTCCTATGACTATTTCCACTCTTCTAATGGTTCACATCTAGTACATGATGAGAAAACAGCATTGTACAGAACCTTTTTTTTTAAACTTGATACCTGAGCTGCACTACTAATTAGTTTCTTGGTCTTGAGCATGACTTCATCTTTGTTCCTTAATTGCTACATGAAGGGGGTTATGTGAGATGACATTAGAAGTCGATGCTAATAGATTCTTTAATCCTATTACCAGTTGCGCAATTGGAAGAAAGCACCAGGATGGATTTTATTGAAGATGATGTGACATGGTAAGCAGTGTCTTTAGGCTGTCCTATTAACAAACTATCTTAACTGTACATGCTATGAGTAAAATGTCTGGTACTTTGACTTCCTTTACTGTGATAGCAGTTGTCTCCTTCCTAAGTTAAATCTCTATTCTTTTAAAAAATATTTTATTTATTATTTTTATTTTATGAGTATATTGCCTGCATGTACGTGAGTGTACCTGTGTTGTGCAATGCTGTGGAGATCAGAAGAGGGCTTTGGATTCCCCTGGGACTGGAGTTAAGGACAGCCCTTTGTGGACAATCTGGGCAAACAAAACAAAAGCAGACAACATGAGGGTAGTTATTGCTACTAATCCATGGAGTAAAGTAAGGACCCATGAGTCCACAGTCAGAAAACCTAATAGGCGAATAAATGAGCTAATGCATAGGAAGGATAGAAAGTAACTTTTCCTTAACTGTAGAATATCAACGAACAATTTGTAACAACCATTTCCATAGGCTAAGAGTGCGGCACTAATAAGTACAGGCAGGACTCTTCTCTTAATGGTAACACTGATGACAGACATATGGGAACAGTGTTTGCCCCTCACAATATGGCCCCAGAGGGGAGAGAGCAACTCAGTGAAGAAACCTGGCTGAGGCTACTCCACTGGAAGGACCAGGGTAACAGTCCTGGCTGCTGGTGGCCGTGGCCTTCTGGATTGGGGGTACTGAGGACACTGCACCACTCAGAGTGAGCACTGAAGGGAAGTGAGGTTAATCCAGATCAAGAGATGTTCTGTGAAAGAACTGGCCAGTCTTCACCCTCGAGTAATAAATTATAACGATGATGGGGCTGGGGAGAGGGCTCAGCGGTTAAGAGCACTAACTGCTCTTGCAGAGGACCTGGGTTCAATTCCCAGCACCCACATGGCGGCTGACAACTGCTCATAACTCCAGTTCCAGGGGATCCAACACTCTCTTCTCACCTCCGCAGGCATTTCACCACACAGGTGCACTTATACACATGCAGGCAATACACTCATACACATAAAAAAATAAAGATGATTGGGGCTGGAGAGATGGCTCAGCAGTTAAGAACACTGGATGTTCTTGTAGAAGACGTGGGTTCAAATCCCAGCACCCACACAGCAGCTAACAACTGTCCATAACTCCAGTTCCAGGGGATCCGACAGTCTCTTCTGTCCTCCATGGGCATTGCACGACATGAGTGCACTTACCTACGTGCAGGCAATACACACATATACATAAAATAAAAATAATAAATAAAATATTAAAAAAGAATTTTCTGGGTTCAAACTGGCCTAAAGATTATTTCTGAGTGGAATGGGAATATTTTCCTTTCTTTGTCCTGGTGGAGGATAATGTGCGTGTGTCATGTGTGCACAGGTACGTGCATACATCTGCATGTGTGTATGGAAAATTTGGAAGTCATTGCTCAGGAACCATTCATCTTGGTTTTTTAAAATATTTTATTTACTATTTTTATTTTAAGTGTATGAGTGTATTGCCTGAATGCATGCAAGTGCATTTGTGTTGTTCAGAAGAAGGCCGTCAGATCCCCTGGAACTGGAGTTACAGATGGTTGTTAGCTGCCATGTGAGTGCTGGGATTTGAACCTGAGTCCTCTTCAAGTGCAGTCAGTGCTCTTAACCACTGACCCATTTCTCCAGCCCCCAGGAACCATACACCTTGTTTTTTGAGACAGGGTCTCTCACTGGGACTTTGGCTAGTCGGTGAGCCACATGGATCCACCTGTTTCTGCTTCCCCAGCACTAGAGGACAATGTTCTGCTCTTTTTTTCACATGGTGCTATGTGAAAGTCCTCATATTTTTGTGGCCTGCTATCTCCTGGCTCCTGGTGGAAGAATTCTTTGCACAAGTAATTGATATTTGGGACTGCAATTTCTTTTTCCCTCAACCCTCCCTTAGACCAAAAGTTTTTTGCACTTTAGATGGTCACTCTCTTTCTTCGTAATTTTTTCCTCTAATGATTCCAAAACAAATGATAATGTTTCTCTTTGTTTCTTAGAATAACTCTTATGGAACTGAGTTTGTCTGACTCCCAGGATATGACTTCTTCCCCCATCTCCTCAGATACTATGACTCAGGACGTTGTTCTACCTTGTTGTTATTGTAAGAAGGCAAAACATTCTATTGACTACAGCACCTCCTCTGGATCATCAAACATCAGCTCCAGGCTGTCTTATCTTCCAATTTTTCCTGAAGGAACGGCTCGGCAATTCCAGAGCACTAGTGTACCTGTTTACCCCCAAATGAACTATCTGTGTCCAGGAGCCAAGGTGCATCCCTGCCTCCTTTGCAGCTGACAGATTCTGAGAGATCAGATCTTATTCAGAATTTGGCAGCTCTTCCTCAGTTACAATCTCCAAACTCCATTATTTCAGAACCCCTAAATCCTTACAATCAAAAAGAGAAAACAGAAAATAAGAGAAAGAACAAAATTAATTTTGGATCAGATCATGGGTCAAATTCTGATTCGAATGAGAGCCCAAGACCCCCAGGATGGGCTCCACTCCAGCTCTCTCCTTTAGTTGGAGGGGAACTAGAAGGACACATATCTCAGAAAGTTTATACTTTGAATGAACAAAAAGTGCCTCTGCTTGTGAAGAAATCATGGGACATGCTCAGTCATTTCATGGATGTACAAGGAGTCCCTGAACCAGAGATCCCCAAAACTCATCTACCTACACCCATTCCTCAGAGGGCTGTGCAAAATACCAAACAATTCCAAGACCTTCCATCATTTCACCTCCATGTGAACACTGGAATGAATGCTAAATTAAATAGAACAGAAGACAAGAGGTCACAATCACTTACCTCAAGCGACCAGTTTAAATCTGTGGATGATCCCCAAATTCTTAGATATAAGCCTTTGGTTGTATCAACGGGCACTCCACCTCCCAGAGGTTTAGGAGTTAATATAATTCAAGAAGAAACCACTTTACTGAAAAAGGACCCAAAGCATGTGCTGGAACTTAGTATAGAGCAGAGGGTCACAGGCCTTCCAGAAAAAAGAATACAGCCACATAAGATGCAAGTGACTAATGTGGAGTTGACACCCAAGATACCATGTTTAGCCACAGAGAGCATAAAGGTAACTCCATTGGCATTACTTCAGGTCATGGATTCAATGGGGATAATCCCAGAATCACATTCAGAAGTGATAAAATCTGTGGGTTTCTTCCCACAGCCACCAAATCCAGTGAAAACAATGAGTGTAACCCCTATACCACCAGATCAAGTAACTGAATCCATGCAGGTAACTCAGAACCAAGCTATTGAATCAACGACTATAACTTCAAGCTTGAACCAAGTCACAGACAACATGAAGGTAACTCCTGCAGCATTATTTCAAGTCATGGATTCTATGGGGATGATTAACCAATTGCATCCACATGCCATACAATCAGTAGGAGTAGTTCCAAGGCCACAATACCAAGTCATAGACTCAGTGAAGATGGATACATTATATAACCATCAAGTTGTAAAACCAGGAAAGATGAGTCCAGGGCCAAGGCATGCAGTCAGGGCACCTGTGAAAATGACTTCCGGGACTCAGCATAAAGCCATGGAATCAGTAAGCATGGCCTTAGGGCCACAAAATCAAGCCATGAAACAAGTGAAGATTACTCCTGGGCCAATACATCAAAATACAATGGAAATGATATCAACACCAATAAGTCAAGTTATGGATTATACAAAAGTAATACCAGGGACACAACAAGCCATGGATTTCATGAAGATAATCCCACCAGCACAGCCACATATCATAGAAGCTGGGGGCTTGACCCCAAGCTCACAGTCTCAAGCTGCAAATTTGATCCCAGTGCCATGTCAACCAGATGGTTTGACTTCTAAAGCTTCTACTAGTGCCCCACCAGGAGCTGTAGAATCTGGGAGTTTACCTCCAAAGCCACCATCTACAGTCATGGAATCAGGAGGGATGACTGTAAAGCCAACAGATCAGTCTATACATGCTCTAAAGGTAGCCCCAATAGCACAGGG